TTAGGTATCCTCTCTCTGTTCACCTTGGACAACAAAAAGGCAACATCATTTACAATCACTTTTGTCCTCTGCTCAATGATTCTTCCCTCTCTTACATTGTTTCTCTGGGTTTCAGGGTCATGACTGGGCCTTGTCAGGGTGTGTGTGTGGGAGAACGACATATTTTTTTTTGTAAAATTTGTCACTTTTATTTTTTCCCCAAAGAACTGTTCATCTAGAGATGAGGCCTGAATCCAAAGAAAAAAAACACCAAAGCTCAAAACTGATCATGAAGAGACATCTCATGGTATGATAATGCAAAGACTCACCAGGGATAATCCATACCTGGAGAATTCTAGAATGTGATGATTCATCCAGAGTCCCAAGAAAACCATGACAGATTCTGGAATCAAGTTGCCTGGATCCACAGGAAAACTCTCATGCATGAGATGGAACGTAATTAGAATGAACTTAAATGACAGTGTAGTCTAGACACAAACCTTGTGAGGGTCTTTTGTTTTGTTGTTGCTGTTTTGTTTGGCTTTGTTTTGTTTTGTTTTGTTTTTTTACAAACCTTGTTATATAAAAGAGTATGACATGAAGGAAAAGACTACAAACAAAACTCACACTTAACCCACCATAAGAAATGCTTTAATGTCAACTATACTGGAATTAAATTAAAAAAAAAAAAAGGATCATGGTAAGCAGTCTGCATAGATGGCCCCAGTGGACCACATCTCCAGATATTTGTGCTTTTGTGTAGCCCTATTGAATCTCGATTGGTTTCTGACTTACTTTATCCAATAGAAATGCAAAAGAAGTGATGTTCTGGACTTCTGAGTCTAGGCATTAAGGTCTAGAAGCTTATGATTTTTTTTCATTTTTGGAGTTCTGTAGAGGTTATACACACTCTTGGAGGCTACAAAAGCCCTTACATACCACCCATAAAGGGGTATTTGATATACCAAGGTGTTTAATAAAGGATTAATCTTACCCAAAGAAAGGTTTGGCCCTTTGGCTTGGCTCCTGGGAGATAATCTTAGAATGTCCTTCCTGTGGGGTGCCTGGGTGGCGCAGTCAGTTGAGTGTTTGACTTCAGTTCAGGTCATGATCTCACAGTTCGTGAGTTTGAGCTCCACGTCAGGCTCTGTGCTGACAGCTCAGAGCCTGGAGCCTGCTTCGGATTCTGTGTCTCCCTCTCTCTCTGCTTCTCCCCTGCTCACACGCTGTCTCTCTCTCAAAAATAAATACAGATTTTTAAAAATTAAAAAAAAAAAAAGAATGTCCTACCTGATAAGAGTTAGTCATCTAGAAGTGCCTCTAATGATTTCCTGAACCCCACGGTAATCTTGGGGACATCCTGAATTCATACTAGCTTTCTCCAGTCCAAGTCTCATAAGCGATTTCTACTATATTCTATTATATATGTTTCCTGATATAGTCATGTTACAAATACATACTTATCTCAGGGCATTATCCAGGGCTGAAAAGTGGCCAGGAGGTTGTTTGAATGAGCAGGGGTAGAGCCAGGCTTACTAATGTGGCCACTGACTTTCATTGTTTTAGTTCAGAAAAAAGCCATTCTCTTTTCTGGGTTCTCTCCTTTTGGAACTCTTAATAGACAAATGTGAGAACTTCTTGATCTACTGTCCACATTTTCCTCTACATTCTAAATAATTTCTACATTCTAAATAATTTCTTCTGGTTTCCCTTGCAGTTTACTAAGTCTCTCTTCAGCTTTATCTAATATGCCATAAACCCATCTACTGAGTTTTTTATTTCAACAGTTACTTCCTCCTGGTGTTGTTTAACTCGTTCCTCTATCTGTTGTATTCACTGTAAAATGGGTGGTTAGATCTACAAAACTGATTAGATTCAGATTACTTTTTACACATTATATTTCATAATCAGTGCTATATGCTTTCTTTCCTTTTACATCAAAAGATGTGTAATGTCTAATTGACTCATTTTTACTGATGATAAAATTAGTTGATGGTTCAGGTAGTATTAGCCTTCTCTTTTTATTACAAAGTTCCACATTAATCTTTCAATGATTTTGTTAACATTGTTGATATTATTCATTATCCATTAGTTGTTGCAAAAAATGTTTTCCAATTCTGTCATTCCTTATGTATCAATTATTAGGTCATTCTGAAATGCACTGAAATCTGAAATCATATTTCATGATATATTGATTTCTTGTGTTTTTCGAATTATTGACTTGGTGCCCTAGGACTCTCCAAAAGCAACCAGAGGATTTATTTTTAAGTGCCATTATGAACTCACAGATTTTTATATGTCTTATGATTTTCAATCCATTGCATTTATAATTCTTTTTAGCCTCACATAATCTCATGTTAGTTCAGTGAATACTCCTTCAGGTTGGCTTTTGACCTGACCTAATTCATCTTTAATAGTTTCCTTGATTTCTGACACAGCATGTCCCAAGTTTAACTCATACAGTTCTGCTCCAGATGTGAAGTCAGTCATTTTTCAAGGATCCTTGGTTTCTTTCAGGGAATGTGCTTGGTACTGACTGCTCCTAGGTTTGTAGGCTCTCTAAGAAAGACATTTTTTGAGAAAAATAAATCATGACTTCATACAATATTTCCAAATCGAATTTAAGACTATAAGGGTTGGGATGCCTGAGTGGCTCAGTTGGTTGGGTGTACGACTCTTGGTTTTGGCTCAGGTCATGAACTCACAGTTCGTGAGTTCGAGCCCCATGCCAGGCTCTGCAGTGATAGTGTGGAGCCTGCTTGGGATTCTCTGTCTCCCTCTCTTTGCCCCTGTCCTGCTTGCTCTCTTCTCTCTCTAAAAATAAATAAATAAAATTTTTTAAAAAGACTGAAAGGCTTTTATTTTGCTTCTATGATTTTATTATGTTCTGAATTGTGCCCCCCACCATGTATGTATGTTGAAGCCCTAACTCCCAATGTGATGGTATTTGAAGGCAAGACCTTTAGGAGTTATTTAAGATTAAATGAGGTCATAAAAGGGTGGGGCCCCAATCCAATGAGATTAGTGTTCTTGTAGAAGAAAAAGAATACACTGTCTCTCGCTGTGCACACATACACAGAGGAAAGGCTATGTGAGGACATAGCAAGAAAGTGATCATCTGCAAGCCAGGAGAAGAGCTCTTACCAGAAATTGACCCTGACAGCTCCTCAATCTTAGACTTTTAGAGAAAATAAATTAATAAATTTAAATAAAAATAAATTAATAAATTAAAATTTAATTAATAAATAAAAGAACTATGAGAAAATAAATTTCTGTTGTCTATGCCATACTCACACACACACACTTACCTCCTCTCTGTCCCCTTGCCTCACATGACCAATTTCCCAATCACATCTCCAACCCATCTTCTCTCTTCCATTCCCACTGCTCCAATTTAGGTTTTCACCATCCCCTGAAAAAGCATCCAACCTCCAATGTCTCCAACCTCTATTCTGCCTTCCACACTCCTACCACAATGATGTTGAAAGCTAGCTAAAGTATTCACATCTTTCAAAGGCTTCTTATCACTTAGAAGAAAAAGGGAGGCCCTAAACAAGAAATGCTTCCTAGATAGAGGCCTATCCCTGAGCAACTTCAATCCCTGCCTTTATTTTCCTAACCCTATATCCTGGTAGCATCAGACTCCTTCGCGTACTGTCTCTCAAACCTCAGCACCCCTGCACATGCTCTCCTTTCTGCCTCAAATGTCCTCCCCACATCCCATGTCCCTCTATTCTCAAGCTATAGACCCTGGCCAGGGGCTATGTATTGATCAAGTCTCCTCTCTCTGCAAAGTTACACACTCTTTTCTCAAGGTTCCCATTACCTCTGGTTGTTTTACTCACGGTTTTGTGGGCTTTTAGAGAGTGGGAGTCTTCTTCGATTCATCTTTTTGCCTAGCACAGAGTCTTAGAAGTGTTCTATAACTATTTGCTAAGAAAGAAATGAGTGTTGGACAAACTAACGTATGGGTGAATTCTTATTTTCCCAGTCTTCTCTCACCAGTTGCTAAGATGTTTCAATGGTCAAAGACAATTGACCACACCCATATTTTGGTCTTCAAATTGTCTGTGCCAGTAGCCTATTGTTTTCTGTTTCTCTTAACTTCCTAATACATTCTCAGTCCTCTTTTTATCTGAGAAGGCGTTATCAAGCAGTCTGCTCGTGGCCCATCTAACTCCTTCATAATTGTCACACATAAATATGTGCTGATACTGGACTTCTCTCCGTCTCACAGATATTGAAAAATAACACCTAAAATCATATTAGGCACAAAAACCTGCCGAAGTTTATCTTAAAAGCAGCTGTGGGGGTAGAATGCACTTAGTGTCCAATGTTTCAGTGTTTGATGAATGAATGAGGTTCCTCTGATTTGGAAGGCCTCGTCCAAGCCTGGGAGCTCAGCTTAAAAAGCGGAAACCGAACAGAATAGTTAAATGAAAGGCCGGAATACTCCACGTTCCAGCCGCCCACAGCGTGGAGAAAGAAGATGTACGTCTAGGGGCGCCTGGGGGGCTCAGTCGGTTAAGCGTCCGACTTCAGCTCAGGTCACGATCTCGCGGTCCGCGAGTTGGAGCCCCGCGTGGGGCTCTGGGCTGATGGCTCAGAGCCTGGAGCCTGCTTCCGATTCTGTGTCTCCCTCTCTCTCTGCCCCTCCCCCGTTCATGCTGTGTCTCTCTCTGTCTCAAAAATAAATAAACGTTAAAAAAAAAAAATTAAAAGAAAAAAAGATGTACGTCTCCCCGGATGACCAGGGTCTACGGTTCTCTTTAAGGGGGAGTGAGCGGAGCCCTGCCCTTAAGCCCGCTTATGGCTAAGGGGACACGCGGCCAATGAGAGGAGCGGTCCGAGGCGGAGCGACTTGCAAGGGACTGACGTCATCACGTTCCGACCGGCCCTCAGTAGGACACGCGCTGTGAAAGTAAACCCAGGAGGAGGTCGAGGTATGGGAGCTGCTGTTGCGGAGGGTGAATCCCGGGTTGCAAGGTGTCGTCGGGTTAGAGCCTGGAAGCAAGGGAAGTTGCCTGACCCCGGGGTTGTGCGGGGAGGGAGGATCAATCACCCCCAGCCTACCCCAGGCGGGTTGGACTCGGCATTAACTGATCAAGAAGGCGGCCCCAAGGCAAAGTCTCCTTAAGTGGGGAGGACACCCCGGCCGCTCCGCCAAGGCCTTGTGCGCTCGTGTGGCCAGACTGTGAGCCTCTGGGGAGACGCAAGCCAGCGGAAGGAAAGAAAGGGACGCCAGTAAGAGCCCACGTTTATTCGCGCCATTTAGCGCCTTACAGGTTAAACTTTCAAAGCACGCCGGTGAGCAGACCCTGTTGTTATTCCCGTTTTGTACAGGGGGACACGGCGACTTAAGTTAAAATGACAGCTTTGTAAATAGTATAAAGATGGGAGGTTGGGTTAAGTAAATAGTGAAACGTGTAAGTATCTCTAAAGTGGTGATTCCAGAAGGTCAACAAAAACTGTTTCTGATCTTCAGCACTTCTAGTAACAAAATTCCTTTGGTGAGTCATAACAACCAGAATGTTAAACTTTGAAATTTGTTTTTCAGGTGATCAGAGCCACATAATGTCAGTAGTTCGTTCATCCGTCCATGCCAAATGGATCGTGGGGAAGGTGATTGGGACAGCAATGCAAAAAACAGCTAAAGTGAGGGTGACCAGGCTTGTTTTGGATCCCTACTTATTAAAGGTGAGGAATATCCCTGTTTTCAGAAGGCATTGATAAATCACCAACATGTTACAGGTTCTGAACAGAGAAACCATTCCCTGTCAGTACAGATGCACTGAGCGTCTGCTGATCTGTGGGTATAACAAAGTGAATTAATCGTGGTTCATTCTCAAATTCTGAGGACACATACAGTTAATTTCAACTCAGTCTGATAACTGATACAGTACTTCTGTGTGCAAAGTACTGGGAGCAGAAAGCAGGACAGCTGATTCTTTCTTTCCACATTGCTGAAAGAGAGCATCCTCAAAGACATTTGAGCTGAATCTCAGAAAGGCTTTTATCCAAAGGACCACATTTGGGGGAGTCATTTTGGCCATGGTAAGTGGTATATGGAAGTTCTTTTAGCCATTAAAGGGCATGACATTGTACAGGAACAACAAGTAGTTTGGCATGTTTGAGCCCAGAGCTTGATCCTGAGTAGGCATTGACTGTTGTTGAGTGAATACAAGAACAGTGGGAGCTGGGCTGAGAAAGGCCTTTTATGTAGTATTTTTGGATTTCATCCTATAAGCAAAGGAAAGACACACTTGGAAACATAAAGATAGAGATGAGGACAGGAGGTAAGGAAATAGGTAAGAAGGCTATTGCAAAAGTCTAGAATGGAAATGATAAGAACCTGAACAGTCCTTGAAGCAATTGCAATGCAGTGGGAAAAGATTTCGGAAAGAAGGGCCAGAGTCCTTGATTTGTCAGATGTGCAAGGGAGGGAGAGGAAAGTGCCAAGGACAGGTAGGTAGAAATGTTCTTTGTTATCTAGGATCAAAAACACAGGAGCAGAGGTGACAAGGTTAAGGGAAGGGGAGGCCAGATGAGTTAAGGAGAAGAATAAAGTTGTCTTTTATTAACAACAACACAGGAACAAGCTGAAGAGTGACGACAGCCTTATCATTGGCCTGAGTCAGGAGACCTTAGTGTGAATATTGACTGTTGTTTACTAGCTGTGCACATTACCTAACTCCAGAGCCTGTTTTCTCATTTGTAAAATGAGAGCACCTTCTGCAGCAAGGTTGTTATGAGCATCTGTGGCTTGTTTGCAGTACTTCGAGCTAGGCATGGAGCTAAGTGTGGTGTGTATATTTAGAACATTTAATTATCTGGATAACTTTAGAGATGCAGATAGTGGAGCCTCATTTTAGGTTGTGAAAAAAACTAAGCCTGGAGTGATTCAGTGACTGTGCCAAGTCACACAGCTAGTAGTGAGAGTAGCATGTTCATAAGGCTGGAGAGAAGGCTCCACTAGGAAGGAAGAGTTTAAATAGTATAGAGAAGGATGATGATTAATAGACAAAGATACTGAAGGTAATAGGCTGGAGAGCTCAGGCACATGATCCACTCTGGGAAAGTCATTGCTATTTTCTAGAAGTTAAGCAGTTAATTTTTGTATTGGAACCCTCCTGAGTGTATTATCTTTTTTTCCCAAGTCCCAGCTTGTTTTCTGTGCGTTACTTTTTATATTCTATGCTGCGTTGTCAGATCACAGATGGGAACTACCGATTTGTTCCTACTTCTCTCAACAGTATTTTAATAAACGAAAAACCTACTTTGCTCATGATGCTCTTCAGCAGTGCACAGTTGGGGATATCGTGCTTCTCAAAGCTCTACCTGTCCCACGAACAAAGCATGTGAAACATGAACTGGCCGAGATCGTTTTCAAAGTTGGACAAGTCATAGATCCAGTGACCGGAAAACCCTGTGCAGGAACTACCTACCTGGAAAGCCCAGTCAGCTTGGAAACTACCCGCTTAACCAAAAATCTGGAAGAACTGAATAGCTCTTTAGCACAGTGAAGGACGATTGGAAGGAGACAAAGGGAAAGATTTATAAGTTTGCTTTACAGAAAAAGAAATTTTTCTAAATTTCATTACAAACTGTCCAATTTCTCTTCTGGTATTTATGGAATAGCTAAAAGTAAATGAAGTAAAGGCCTTGTTAAAATTTTTCATGAGTGTAAGGTCATGTTTGAAATTTCCTTTTCATTGAACATACTTTCCTCTTACAGGAAGTGTACCTAGTAATCCCCTGCATGGTTTTGTAAGCTCACTTTTTTAGAAGGTGTATCTTTTTTTTTTTTTTTTTTCCATTCAAAGGAATCTTGAATTTATCTTAGAACCCTTATTTGGGGAGGAAAATACCTTTTGATATCTTAAAACAGAAGACTGCATTAAGTGAATATTTATTTTTGGTGGTATATATTTGAAACTAATTTGAAATTTTTCTTTTTTTTTTTTTTTGTTTGTTTTTTAATGTTTATTACTTTTGAGAAAGAGAAAGACAGAGAGCAAGCAGGAAAGGGGCAGAGAGACACAGAATCCAAAGCAGGCTCCAGGCTGTGAGCTGCCAGCACAGAGCCTGACCTGGGGCTTGAACTCGTGAATGGTGAGTTCATGACCTGAGCTGAAGTTGGCTGCTTAACCGACTGAGCCATCCCAGTGACCCTGAAATTATTTCTTTGATTTAACCAATTACAAATGGAAATAATCAGCAGTCTGGTTGGGGTCAGACCTTATAAGAATGTCGACACATAGAAAATAAAACTTGAAAATTCTGTGTCACTTTTCTTTCATCCTGTATTCTAGAGTGTATTAAATAGGAGTGGATTCATAAAATCTGATACATTGATGAAATTGTAGAGTTCCTCATACTGTGCATTTGAGTTGGAGAGTTTGAGTTCTGTTGCTGTTTATTAATAAACTATGAACCTAGATTTTGACCTGAAGAAACATTGAGTTACATATTCCAGTTTCCTGGCTCCTAGGAAGAGATTTGGAGCATATTTGAGTTTCAACTAATACGTGTATTATACAAGTACAGAGTTTCAGCAGTAACCACAAGCACTGCCTATCCTCTCAATGCTCATAATCTAGTAGGGGAGGTTATGTACAGCTGCCTTCATAGCAGAGAAGCACATGGGTGGGGGGGAAATGACAACTTCCCAGAAGAGACTAGATGGTGCTAGAACTGAATCTTAACAGTTTCTGGGCTAGTAGATAAGGGTTGTGGAAAGGGCATTCCAGGTAGAGGGAGGAATGTAAAATCCCAAAACTATGAGAAGAAGCAGCATAACCAAGGGGTTCTGCAAGCCGATGAGGACTGCTTGGGACACTTTGAACATGAGTGGGGTTCAGGTAAAGAAACAGGTGGAAATTATACTGTAAGTGGTGGCAGGTTACATTTTTAAAAGAGTATGATATAATTACATAATGAACTGTAAGGGGAAAGATTAGAGGGAAAGAGACCTGTTCAAAGACTGGTCCTAAGACAAACTGAGTAGGGTGAGGAAAAGAGGTTGGATAAATGATGTTCCAAAGTAGAACTCTCAGAGCTTGATACCAGGAGAGTGAGCAAAACGGAATCATCTAAGAGTGTCTAGGTCTCTGACAGGTGAAGTTAATGTGGGTTCCACCTTGCACCTGTACAAGCCATTGCAAAAACCTCAAATATTTAAAATGCTTACATATACTCTACTTTTTTTGAGAGAGAATTTTAAGCACGCTCCATGCTCAGCGTGGAGCCTGACGTAGGGATCAATCCCATGACCCTGGGATCATGACCTTAGCCGAAATCAACTGACTAAGCCACCCAGGCATCCCTCTTAAGATATTTTTCCTAATAATCTTGGTGTAAAACTTATGCTCCAGGAAGATGCCCAATATTTCTTCTATGACATATACACCTGTGAGCTTCTATGACAGCTATACACCTGTGAGATAAAAGTACATGTCCCCAGGGGCGCCTGGGTGGCGCAGTCAGTTAAGCGTCCGACTTCAGCCAGGTCACGATCTTGCGGTCTGTGAGTTCCAGCGCCGCGTCAGGCTCTGGGCTGATGGCTCAGAGCCTGGAGCCTGTTTCGGATTCTGTGTCTCCCTCTCTCTCTGCCCCTTCCCCGTTCATGCTCTGTCTCTCTCTGTCCCAAAAATAAATAAACGTTGAAAAAAAAATTAAAAAAAAAAGTACATGTCCCCAGTAAAAAATATTGGAAGATAACAGTGGAGAAGAAAAATGCAGAATAAGTGGCCTAATACTAAATAGCACAAAAGCAAGGTCGACCAAGAAATATTTACCAAGTTTACATTTCAGGAAAATACATTTAAAAGCATTCATCTCTTAAAAAAAAAAAAAAAAAGCTGAGAAGTTGGGAGAATGTGTGAGAAAGTCACAAGGGCACAATGACACCACAGGCTTAAAGAGGCTTCCCTCCTACTGTGGAGGATTGGGACATGTCCTTTCTGCCCTGGGGAGAGCTCCCTTTTGGGTCTAAGTGTCTACAGGCTCACTAATCATAAGCCTGTTGCTCAGCCACATAGCCTCTGGACTCCTGTCCCCTGTCCCTTGGCCTCCTTTCCACTGGCCTCCAAGAGACCCATATCTCCCTGATCTGGAGCAAATCCTTGTTGTCCCTCCATCCACAGGACCCCTTTTTAATCCTTCCTGGTGGTTCCTTGCCATATTAACATGTTCAAATATTCCCCAGTCAGAAAACTGCACCCCTTAAGCTCCAATGCTTCCTTTGCCTCCAAGATTACTAGCTTCAGAGAACCCCTCAGACCAAAAGCCCAGTTGCTGCCCTCTCCCCTCCTGCCAGGGTAACAGACCTCCCAGGTACCCACCCATCCTGAGGACATTTCCCTCTTGGCCTCTGCAGATTCTTGCACAGTGCTCCCCTTGGTGGCTGGGGTCTCTCCTCCCTTTCTCCCCCTTCTCTCACTGTCTAGCTCCCTTTCTGCCTACCTTGTCTCGGTTGCAGTTTTCAAGGTTACTTTTGCGGCTCTTTTACTCAGGATACACTTTCCCTAAACAGTGCCACCCGACCCACGCCTTTGTTTAAGTTGTTTTCTTGACCGGAGATATCCTCCCTTCCACTGGTCAACTCTTCCTTTGGGACCGCGCTATCGTGCCAGGAACTCGGCTCTGTCTTCCGCTTCACAGCCACCGCCGGTTACAGTCTCGCCTGTCCGTGTCCCCTTCCCGTCTGGTGAACCTCTTCATTTCAACACTTGACACGCTGGAGCCAATTATTTCACATCCTGCCCCACTAGACTGAGTCGGCTTGACGACTGAGACGCGACGAGGGCCCATCAGTGTTGATATGAACAGGTTACAGGAACAATGTAGTCCCGAGACCACCAGATAACTTGAGTATGTTTTCATCTAGAATGTTTTTATTAAAGCGTTGCTTTGGGTTTGTTTTCGGTTTGAAAGGCAATGTATTTACATGGTACAAAGTTCAAAAGGTATTAGGGAGAAGCCTGAACTCAGTGTTACTCTTTTCTTGTGGATCTTTCCATGTACATTAAAGCCTTGCCCATGGTCCTCTAGCGCTGGACATTCAGCTCCTTTCGCTGGTGATTGTCTCGTAAAGCAGTCCTTTTCGCCTTCGCGCTCCTTTCTCGCAGCTGCAGGACCTCCTCGCGCCGGGACCGTGGGCCCTACTTCCCCTGGCGGCGGCGCCTGGCGCTGCAGCGGCCGCGCGCCCCGCCCCGCCCCAGCCTCGGCGGGCCTGGCCGGGGGAGGGGTCGCG